GCAAAAAAACATCAAAAAAGCACCTTAATGAAATTGCGCTAAAGATGGTCCTACAATATCCAAAGTCTTTAAAAGACATGATAGAAGAAGTTGTTGGAAGTGGCCATGATTCTTTAACAAGACAAATTCAGTGCAGAGTTGATAACTACAAGCGAAAGGAAATGCTGAATAAGCGCAACAGAACTCCTGCAGATGACACAAGCACTGTTCCAGAAAATAAGAAGAAACAAAAAGACTCCTATGGCTGAATCGTGTTGGAGTCTGTGCCTGACAATATGGATGCACAGATGAAGAAAAAAAAAGAGATGCAAGAAATGTTCATGACAAATGACAGGAATGAAAAACATATAAAGGAGTTAATGTCAGATACCTTCGTATCTCAGAGAAATGACATACAATCTGGTAAGGACACACAGGTCCTTAAAGAAGAATGGCCTTACCTATTCTCACTTGTCGGCATGAAGGAACATTTCAAACTTTTAACTGGTGTCCAGCTAAACGAGGCATTTGAACAAGCCATGACAACTAAATTTGCAATAGTTCTTGACTACTTTCAGTCTCTTCCAATTGTGAAGTCAGTCATGGCTGCAAAAGACAGAGCTGAAATCCAAGCAAGTGGTGGACCCTCTGGGGCAGTGTTGATGCTACTTTCACACTTCAAAGAGGAGCATACAAAAATGTCCCACATTGTTGGCCATACATGCATTGCAGGTGAGGTTGAGACTGAATGACTGCCACCCACACCATGCATTATTGTATGTGGTAAGTGAGAGGCAATAGAATTTGTGTGCACTACATGCAAAAAGAAACATATAAAGTAATGGATTTGCCTGTATGACATTTTTTCCCCACAGGAACGAGTCCAATATCTGCAGCAGCTTTAATGGTGGCAGCAGACCAGGAGGTGATCATGGAAAATTTGACAAGCTTCACTGACGCACTGGTCGGCATGTTCATCTGCTACTACATTTTCAACATGCACTACCCAGTAGAACTTGGGGCCACGCTGGAGTTTCTTCAAAGGTAAATGTGCCCTAATTCTTTTCTGATTGGGAATGTTTTTGGATTTTAAGCTAGATTCTTCTGTTTGTCTCTGTATTTTTTATGCTGTATTACTGCGAGTTGATGTTTTGTTGATATCAAACAGTGTTTGTATTTTGTACTACTCCTTTACCAACAGGTGCATATTTAAGATCAATCCTGAAAAGGGCTCCAAAGTTGAGCGTCTGGAGAAGAAAAAGAGCAATGCAGTGAACCCGATAGTCCTGACCCTTATAACCCGCATTTCAGAGTTTGAATGGAGGTCTTAGTTGGTAAGTTGCTTATTGTCACTTTGCTTCTATGTACGTTATTGTACATAGCGGAAAAATTAACGCTGAGCGAAGACACCGCACAAGTGGCACAAATCAAATTAGCAATTTCATTTAAATAGTTAAATATGGATTACTGTATCTGTTTCTACAGTGTAGTTTATATAAATGAAAAGATCAATACATGATGATAAATATAGACTGCAAAAAGTTTACACTATTATTTATGACTGTCATCAGTATTACTTTTTTTAATTGTAGCAGCTATCCAAGATCCTTGACACAACCATTTTGGATTTGATGAACATGCCTCTGTGGCACTACAATAACTTCCAACTGCCATATCAAGTAAAAATAGACATTATGAAGGGGAAAATGGCATACATTAATAGACAATAAAACAGAAAATGACAGATAATCAGTTAAACTGGTGTACACCCATCTTGGTAAGATGAATGCATCTCTAACATCTGTCAACAAATATATGTTTTCTAGATCCAAGGAGGATGATATGAGCCAGAGTTGGCCTGGAGAACCTGTGGAAGCAATCCAAAATTCAAGATCCCCATGGAACAAAGATTGAAAGGTTTTAAGTCTTTTATTGTTGGTTGGCACTATTGATACTTATTTTTTTAGTGCAGGTTGTAATGTTTTTTTTTATTTATGTTTTTAATTGTTTTTATTTATTTTTAATAGAAGCAAATTAGTTAGAGTTCTGTACAGTTAAAGAAGATTATCTGTTTAAAAATGTCAACATGTGTTAGGTTTTTTATTTTATTGTTTTTTTTTTATATAGAAGCAAATTTATTACAGTTCTGTACATGTTAAAGTAAACGAAATTATCAGTTTAAAAATGTAAAAACGGCAACTTTCCATACTGGACCAATGCCTTATGTTTTTGTTATGATGAATAAAAAAAAGTTATAAGTATTGAGTTCTGTGTAATTTTGCAAAACTTGTATGTAGTATTGCAGGTTTGTTGATATTGTAGGAATTGAAGTCATTCAAAAAATTATGGACCACAAAAATCTAAATGATGAACTTTTGTTTAATGTGACATGGGCATTTTTTTCCTACCAGGACATGGTGAACCCAGAAAAAAAACACATTTTAATTTGTAATAATTTATAAAAGCAATAACAACAGCAATAGTAATAATAAAGCACTGATACAGGGCCAAGCCTTGATTGCACAGCAAATGCAATGCAGATTTGGAAAAAACATAAAGACAAGACATAACATGCACATGAATTATAGATGTGGTTAGGAAACTTAGGGGAAAATAATACAATGCCAAATAATGTTTAAAATGAGTATTTATTTGCAAGACAAGGTTAAAAGAGTAGTAAAAGAAACAATGCATAATTTACAGTACATGTACTGTATGTACAAATACTATTATTTGACATTAATAACCTCACTTTAACCCTCACATGATTAATCTTTAATGGTAATAAAAACACTTTGACTGAATGACCCCCCCCCCCCCCCACCCCAATTTTTACAGTAATAATCTGTAAATATTAAATAATTTTCTATGTAAAATGACAAATTACTCTGAAAATAACAGAAAAATGTATGTAATACCAAAATACAAGCAATTATCTGTAAATTTAATGGTGGAACTTTAAAATACAGAAAATATCTGTAAAACAACAGGTATTTCATCGTATAATGAAAAAAATGTAAAATAACATATTTTTTTTACAGTGTCTGTCAGTTAAAAAAGTATAATCTGTCCAGTGGAACTATGTGCAAATTCTACAGGGCTATGATTGAATCGGTCCTATGTTCTTCATTTACTGTTTTGGTACAGCTCTGCTACTCAGAGGGACAAATTTAGGCTTCGGAGAGTAGTGAAAATGGCAGAACGCATTATTGGGACTGATCTACCTTCCCTTCAAGATCTGCACTTGTCACGGGTTAAGAAATGGGCTCAGAGGATTGTCCGTGATCCTTTACATCCTGCATTCAATCTTTTCAGACTTTTACCTTCTAGAAGGCGTTATGGTTTGGTTAAAACGAGAACTACCAGATTTCAGAATAGCTTCTTTTTTTATTTTTTACAGTAGCCATAAAAACTCTAAATTCTACTATGTAATTGTGTAGTATTTTTTCTTTCTCTTTGTGTGTGTGTGGGATGCCTCATACCGGCAGAAAATTCCTTGTATATTATGCATATCTGGCCAGTAAATGTTGTTGTTGTTATTAAGCTAACTGAGACTTGTTATACCACTTTCATATCATTGCTCTTTTGTTGATTTTGATTGCTTCCATTGTCCTCATTTGTAAGTTGCTTTGGATAAAAGCATCTGCTAAATGACTAAATGTAAATGTAATGAAAGACAATATTCCTTTGTTTTAAGGAGGTCCCTTGTCCAGTGGTGTCCTGTTTGAAACATTATCTTATATTCTAAATATTCAGTTACATTTGATTACGTTGAATTGTTTGTTTGTTTTTAGTTCTTTTTTAATTTTTTTAAATGAAAAAATTTTTTTTTTTGAGGAAGTCTCTGTTTGTCCAATGGTGTCTACTCAATATTTATGCATTAAATGTTTTATGGACAGTCATGGTGTTCTGTCTGTATAGTGAAATGAGATTAAAATGGTAATGTATAATAATAATAATAATAATAATAATGCTATCAAGAAAAAGGCTAAAAAGGAACCAATGAGGGTCATTTATGCACCTTTAAGTGAAGATTCCAATTAGAACCTTTTCAAAAACTTGCAAAAATGAACCTTTAAGGTTCCCCACAGTTGCAGTCTACAGGAACCTCAAAAGGTTACTTTTTTTTACCTTTTTTTTTTTACTTATTGTAATTAATGGGGTTATTATTAAGTATTTCCATTAATTAGATGTACATTTCAAACATCTTCGCTTTTCATTCAACCCTATAGACTAATTAATTTAAATAATTCAGTTTGCATTCATGGTGTTGCTATTATGGCATGTCTTCAGTTAAAAAAGGGCAAATAAATATGGATATCTAGATATCCTTTCAGATAAATCCCTTTTACTGAGATTCTGCTTTATCTGCCATTGCAATTATTAGGGTAAAGAGGCCAAAGATTAATAATTTAACAGCTAAATTAGCAAATGTTTCTTTTTCATATAATAACACAATGTCTGATACATCATCATCCCACACATAGTAAACATCTAAATATGTAACAATTTAAATGCACGTTGTTTTTAAGGGGGCCATCTTTCCCCATATATGTCAGAAATGGAAACTCTAGAGTCTAGAACATGTTATTTTAAACATATTGTAACGTTCTCAGACAAGGACGAGGCGTTTTGATGTACAAGGGGTGTTTATTTGGGCTGTTGTCGGCCACCACAACCCACGCCGTACACACCCCGACTTCTAAGAGAACCGCACTTGAACCAGCGAGGCACTCATTCTCCCCCCTCCTTCTCTCTCTTTCCCCTTACACACACACAGGGGCGGAGCCTCTTTTCACATCCAACTCGAACATCCAATAACAGTTCGCAACACAAAAATGAATACAGTGCAACACTAACATTAAGCACATTGTTATCTATAACACAACATGCTTGAACATGCTACAATATAATAAATAATACAGTATAGTAAATTATCCTGCATCCATCTTCGTCAAAGTACAGTACAACATCTACAGCAGTAGATGGCGGTATGCACCAGTTGGATTGCAACCCCCCCCCCCAGTAAATCCACAGAAGAAGACGAAAAAGAAGCGTCAGCTCCAACGGCGCACTGTAATTACATCAACGTCCAAATTTGCTCATCCATTTTCTTTTCCTCCTCTATTTAGAACACTTACTCTACAGAGCAGAGTCAGTGTTAACTAGAGGCTGATTACGGACACAGCTAATGTTCAGCGGAATACAGCACCCCAGTTGTTGTGGAAAACCCGACAAGACGAGATGACAGAAGACACCGACGATTTACATTGAGAAGGTTTGGACTGGGCTGTTTAGAATGTGTAACTTAGATATACAGGCAGTCAATGGCTGCGTCCGAAAGCTGGAAAAATGCTGCATACGGATGTATGAAGGCAGAAAGAAAGAAAGGCACGCCTGATTCCAATGATCGTTTCACAATCTGTCTACCGAGATACCTTTAAGCGGATCGGCTTCTTAAGGCATTCTAGATTTATGTGTCATCCCACTATCTAGTGCGTTCGATTCCGTGACTGCTGAGCTAATAAATAAAAAAATACAATTTGCGAGATAAGGTTGGTGGTCTGTTTGAGTCAATGTATGTTTTGACCAACTTTTTCCACTTTTTATGTAATTTCTAGCAAAAAGAATTGTATTGTAGTAATTATATTCGTTTATTTATCATCAAAGCTCTCAGATAAACGGTTATGCTTGAGACTAGCTCTTCTTCGACTGCGCTGACCAAAGGCACGATGGAAAACGACGACGCAATGCGCATCGGTTTAAACAACAGTGATAATGTGTTCTCTTCTAAAAAAGTTCTATATCTGATATTATGCGATTATGTATTTAAATTATACGTCAATATTCACAAACACTTAAACATTGTGTGGGATATGTGATTGTTGTCATATTTCTAAATATACACAAAAATATGTGTAGGCCTATTTATCAAACTAAAAATATATAGAAAACACTTATTGAAATTAAATTGAACTTTGGGTGTGTTGTACATCATATTTTCATATAAAATCAAAATAATTTTAAGTTACATTCAGTTTTCAGATGCAGCCAGTAGGTGTGGCTGACCACTCAGCATGCATGGAAATAAATTATCATTTTAATCAGGGCTTAGAAGCTACAAGGCGTTCCATGCTCAGCATAAATATAAACAGATATGCTATGCTCGTGTAACATTTGCTAGCAGACATTTCAGATAAAATAAGGAAAGATACCATTATCACAGAGGTATAAAATTAACTAAAGCACTTAAAGTAGGCTCTGGGTAATGTTTCTTAACCAATCTGACACAATTGTTGAACTTTTTTGGCATAACTGGCGAGAAACAGTGAGAAATGTCAGATGCCATCCTCTCCAGCAGCTTATGCCGAGTTGACACTGCACAATTTTCAAAGACGTCGCATCACTGTTGGTTTCACACTGAACGACTATCTGGGGTAAAATTCAGTTGTTGCTGTGTTCACACTGCACGATGGAACGACAACAGGAGGTTACACACTGCATGACTTTACAGCAGGAAGAATCGCCGACAGCTCTGTCTGGTGCAGGGTAGCCAGGTTTTCGCTACAAAACCCGCCCAATTACTACTCAAAACTAGCCTGAAAATAGCCCAATTGCTTTCGAGGGGGTCCCCCAGTAAAAATCGTGTTCGGGGGTAAAATACTGGGGGGGTTCTCCTGGTACAATTCACATTCCAGGGCCTAAATATCACGTTATTGGGGTCGCTTCAACCTGCTGACATAAAAAACTACCGGTGGCAATCGCAGATTTGGCAACACTTGTCCGCAAACTACGTTTCATATAACTCCTCCCCGAACTTCCCGCTGCCCTGTATCTTGGTCTCTCATTGGCTGTAGGTCATCGCTGATGTGTTTTTCAGTCAGAACTAATTTCTCACAGTGTGATTGTGAATCGCCGACAGCTCCAGATATTTAGCATGCCAAATATTTCACAGGCATCGGCGATTCCCTCAGATCTTGTCTTTGATAATTCACACTGCGTGATTGTCACTCGCGTGAACGAGCACCGATTTGCCTCCGATTTCGGGCATTTGTCGGCGATTTTGCAAAACCTGTCAGCGAGTGAAAAATCGGGCTAAAATCGTACAGTGTGAACTCGGCATTATGTGTTCCCGGTTGCCATGGTCTTAACGGCCAGCAGTACTACACATAAAAAAAAAAAAAAAAAGGGTTTTGGCGTCTTTCCAGAGTTCAAGAACTTTATTGTATACATTTTATAAACCTATTTATTTGTTATAAATTGTAAGACTCGCCTCAGAAAAACGAATTCTTCTGTCAGACACAGTTGAAGTAAAAAGTGCCTCAGACGCTGTCCTGATACAGTATCTGCGGCAAATGAGATGGTGTAGCCAGGTCTGTGTCATTACTTCAATGTTATCTTCATAACTCGTTACGAAATAAAATGTTTCATGACTCAGAAAAATTTATTTTCCTTTCTTGTCAACATGTGTGCGCCATGTGTCATGTATGTCAGCTGTGGAGTTGATGATGGTAATGGTAATGAAATTACGAGCATGAGACGTTGCAGTTACGTTGCCAGTAAGTCATGAAATTACTAATATATTACCATCGACCTTATTTTTCACGTAAGCGTGGGCACTGCCGTTTTTGAGCTATAATGTGTCAGATTTCCGGTAAAGCACTTCCGCTAATAGTAGTTGTATTGTGATTCCATAGTTTTGCGTTCACTGTGTAGATTTTACAGGCTAGTTTACTTTTAATATGAAAAGACTGGCGTACTTTGTGCAGTTAGGTGGTGTCATAATAGCTGGTTCAAGTGTAAAAAATACCTGCAAGACATTTGTTTTGACCATAATCCACGTACCAGAGCTGAATGTGGATGTGGGGCACCCTATGATTTGCATGCCCCTTCGAAGGGAGAAGAAGCTTGTCGTCTTTGTTTAAAAGCCTTTAACTTAAAGAAACCACCGACATTTCCGTACGTTTGCTCTTTCCACTTCGTTGATGGCAGACCCACGGAAAAATCATCCATTCCCCGAAAAAGGATGCTCCAGTGAAGACTCCGAGGTGACGTCTCATTAGGATATATCCACAAACAGGTATGTTACAGCTTCTTGTTAAGTTACGTGCTCTAACAAAATACATTGTTTAAACACTTTCTTTATCGATGACACTCCTATTGGGCAGGAATAATATTTAGTGCTAAGCTGAAGTTTTTGATAACAGTAGAAAACTCTTACAAAAAAGCGCATAGAGGGATAGCTAAAATTTAAATTCTGTCATTTACTTACTCTCGAGTTGTTCCAAACCTGTGTTAATTTCTTTTTGCTGCTGAACACAAAGGAAGATATTTCAAAGAATGTTTGTAACCAAGCAAATCTTGGGTCCCATTCACTTCCATAGTAGTAAGAAATAATACTATGGAAGTGAATGCGACCCAAGAATAGTTTGTATATTAATATTATTCCAAATATCCTCCTTTGTGTTCAGTAGAACAAAGAAATTTATACAGGTTTAAAACAACTCGAGGTTGAGTAAATTATGAAAATGTTAATTTTTGGGTGAACTATCCCTTAAAGCCAGGTACTGTGATTGTATTGAATAAAAATACCATTGTACTGCGACTGGAACACCATAGTGCCATGTACAAAATACTTTTGCTACATATTTTAATTACTTTTTGTAAATAGGGGGTGGAGAATTTATCAGTTTCTCCCGTGCATCTGACTGACTTCAGTGTTGTGTTTTCCAGATGAGCAAGGTGACCATGAGACCGCACAAACGGAGCCATTGCAGCTGCCCCTTCAGTACTGTGATGCATGCACTCAGTGGGAGGTCAAGGCATTGACAGACCACACTTATGCCTCAGCGGATAATATAATGTTACACAAGGCAAAACAGTTCCACAGTAAAGATCCCTTAGCCCTTTCCATTCTCAAGAATGACACTAGCTCTTTATTGTACACTGGCTTCACCCTTAGTGTCTTTAAAGAACATGTTAAATATCTCCAGCAATTCTACACTTCCAATTTTAAGATGCACATAATGGATCAAATTCTGATGACCATGATGAAGCTGAAGTTGAATTACTTCAAGGATATCTTGCTGAATGCTTTGATGTGTAGTAAGCTGAATTATCTCCGACTGGATTGATACAATGGAGGAGCACATGAGAGTCTACATTCCATGGCATTTTATATGAAATTTAGAATGGTGTAGTAATTTTTGATACATTGTGTAGTTGTTTGGAATTATTCAGTGTGACCATTAAATATACTGTTTTTACACAAATATTTTCAAGATCTTATATTACTTCTTTCTCCTTATATATGCACACACACAATTAAAATGTCAAAATGCAGTTTATTTTTCCCCCCCCCCCCGCCCCCCACTGAAAATGATACAGTTTACCAATGCTAGGTAAATAATCGTAAATTTGTCACTTTTTAAAAAAATCTCGGAACAAATGTAAAACATTCTGAAAAGATATATATATTAAAAAGTATATACTTATGCGTGTACTATTAAAAAGTACACGCATAAATGGAAAACATTCTGAATAGTATAGTCAGACGATTAATTGCATCCAAAATAAAAAGATATATACAGTATATACTGTATATCTATATATATATATATATATATATATATATATATATATATATATATATATATATATATATATATATATATATATATATATATATATATATATATATATATATATATATATATATATATATATATATATATATATATATATATATATATATATATATATATATATATTTATTTATTTTAAAGTACACACATATATTTTTATTATTTATAACTTTTATTTTGGAGGCAGTTAATCAGCCCTAATTCTGCACTGTATAGTAATCAGTTTATCAGAAAAAAATGTCATTACTACTTTAAAACTATCAACAAGTGCTTTCACAGATGAAAGAGAAAAAGGAGACATTAGTCATTTACCAGTTACCTAAATCCTCAATGCAATCACATAACAGTTCTGGGATTCAGGTCTGCTTTTAAAAACACGAATTCACTTTCTGTTTCATGTACCAGCACTCGGCCGACTTTCCCGCTGTGCAGGTACTGATATGCCTCAGTGCTTTTATAATTCCTCATCGAAGACCCGTCTACTCCAAGCGACAAAATTAAATAATTAAAAATGTCCTCATAAGTTATGGCAGGCCACTTCTTCATTTTATCCTCCGACTGTGTTATACACCAGGGGTATGGTAAATATTTATAATAGTGTTCTGTGTGCGCTCCCACCACATCGCTCCTTTCG